CAGTGTCTCAGTTAAGTCATCCATTAGTACAAGCTGGAGTAGATGATGGAGGAGATGATACTGATCAAGGAATGGGAACTGATTCAGCTACTCCAATGGTTGACCAAACATGGCGTCACTATCCTGTCACACCAAAAGAAGTAATGATTATTGGATCATTTGGTGATCATAATAATTGGCTGGAACAACAGTTAGTCATAGTAATTATTAATTATTATTGTTGTTTATTATTAACAGACACAATGTATCACCAAAACTACTTACAGCAGAGTTACCAGGTGACTGGAGGAAAGAAGAGATTCAGAATATTGCAGACCTGTATAGTAGAAATCCTGCTTTTTATCACATTAATTCAGTCCATTATGATGTACCAGGAAGTGAATGCACTAAAGAATGTTACATGGAAGCAATCAAACAACTTTTTATTAACTGCAAACTGGAAGGAGGTATGAGAAAGATTTCACTACTGACTAATATTAATGCTTCTTGTTATATAGTTTTTCTCTATTACACTGGTCATGGAGAGAAGGACACTGGTAACTGGTGCTTCAAAGATGGAGTAATATCATTCAATGATATCTTTGAATTATATGTAAACCATTTTAAAGGAAAGCCATTAGCAATAGTATCAGATTGCAGTTATTCTGGTAACTGGATCAATGAATGCAGTAAGAGGTTAGATGAGATGGATGTTCCATCATGTGGACACCACACAAGAAAGCAAGGGCTGTTGTTATATATATTTACTTCTTGTCACCCAAATGAAGAGGCTACTGCATTGTGTTATGTCAATGAAGCTGTTGAGTATAGTCAAGCAGATAAAGCACTGATACTTTGGTCCAATAAAACACTATCATCAGGACAGAAGACAATGGCTACCGACTTTAAATACATTTATTGTAGTAAACTAGCTAATGAATCCTGTGAAGCTGATACTGACTGTACATGGAATAATCACCTTAAGAGTCATCTTCTTTATATTGTTCGTGGTAAAAACAGAGGACAGGCAGCCTGGCACTATGTGTTAGTTGATGAAGAGAAAGTAGCTGACTTTATAGCTCAAGTAGCTACTGGACCCATTGATGTTGCTAATTATGGTAGAATCTTAAAGTCAGGATGGGAAAAAGATCCTCCTAAAGATATTGAGCAAAAGATGGAGCTGCAATTCGGGTTTGTTCCTAAAACCAATTGATAGCTTTCAATGCAAATACACAATTGATGTTCTAATCACATGCATAACTATTATAATATCTACAAAATTTTGTGTGTCTCCTTTTATATTTTATAGTTATTAGCTGTTGAAAATTTTTTTGAATAAACTTATTGCATAATAATACATTAGTATAATTCTTCCAACTATCTCTTGCAAATAACAATAATAATAATAATAATAATGATAATAATACAATAATACTAAAATATTTATAACATAGCTCCTCCTGTTGTAATGCATTAAAAAGGTTCAGATACAAAATTGGGCACTTTTCATAATCTTCCAGTCCTTGAAAGAGAAACTAAAACTGAACCCAACCACCACCACCACTGAAGAGAGGGAGAGAGAGAGAAAGAAAGAAAGAGAATAGTAGAATATTCAATAATGAATTCTAATTCTATTGCACATACCTTGAGTTTGTCCCACTAGTTGTATTGCCACTGCTGCTAGTAGAACTGTTTCCAGTTGCACTAGCTGAGAAGAAGTCTCCCCAATCATCACTACCTGAGGTGGTGGATGGAGCAGGAACTGTTGGAGGTTTCACTGGACGACTGCTGGACACAGGAGGAGGTAAAAGACCTCCAGCAGCAGACAAACCTAGAGATGAGCATTATACAAGCAGTCTTTCTATTCTGCAATCTGCAGAGTTACTGAGTTGCATAGTACATGTACATCAGTAATTCTAGGTATTTATACTGTCAGTAGTATCAATTACTAATGTGAGGTTTGTCTTCATAGCTATGATTTTACATAGCTATGAATATTAATTAGGTCCATTGCTGTACTTTGTATGGTGGGCATAAAAGAATGATGACATAGAATTTGTAATACTTGCTATATAATACTCTATTTTTTAAATTTTACATGAATAGGTCAGCATTTTATCCCACGTCTAGTTCGTGTTACTCCTCACAATCTTGATGAGCCTCTACTAAAGGAAGGAGGGCTGGTAGGAGGGGCTGGAGGGTCCAATAATAATAAATTAAAGTTACAGATAACACAGCATAAGGCAGGTAGCTCCTCTTCAAATCCTAAGAGCAAGAAGAAGAAAGAGACAAAAGAAAAGAGAGAGTAAGTCATCATTTATAAGTCCAACCATCAAATTCTTCTTTGCGTGTTACATCATACCAAGACTACTCTTGATCATACCAACTATATGTTTGGAATTTAGTGACATTTTAAATACATGTGCATGTACATGTATGATGTGAATTTGTAGTATTCATTTAAAGTATTTCATTTATAGTACTACACTACTAGTTGTATACCTTCGTGTAGTCTAGTATACTCTTAGATACTCTTAGTATACAATGTACTCTTTATATACTCTTAATTTACTTTATTACCAGAGCTCAGTGAGTACTCGTGCTATTACAACTGTTCTTATGTTATGTAGAAAGTTTGAGCTGATTCCGATCAAAATTGGATTTTTTATGAATTTTTAAAGTTGCTCCAAAATCAGGCTAAAGCATGGTCTCGGGTCAAATTTTGACAAAAATGAAAAGTAGAGAATTCTCCATTTTTATAACATTCCCTGATACATATACATGTTTTTATGTTGTGTAGAAAGTTTGAGCTGATTCTGATCAAAATTGGATTTTTTATGAATTTTAAAAGTTGCTCCAAAATCGGATAAAAGTCCCTGTACTATAGTACAGGGATTTTGGCCAAATTTTGTCAAAAATGAAAAGTAGAGAATTCTCAATTTTTATAGCATTCCCTGATACATATACATGTTCTTATGCTGTGTAGAAAGTTTGAGCTGATTTCGATCAAAATTGGATTTTTTATGAATTTTTAAAGTTGCTCCAAAATCAGGCTAAATAAAGCATGGTCTCGGGCCAAATTTTGACAAAAATGAAAAGTAGAGAATTCTCAATTTTTATAACATTCCCTGATACATATACATGTTTTTATGTTGTGTTTCAAGTTTGAGCTGATTTCGATCAAAATTGGATTTTTTATGAATTTTTTAAGTTGCAAAATCGGATTGCTCCAAATGCCATGTACTGTATTGTAGTGCTTGTCAGCTCATGGATCTCACTTAGTATACTTTGTGGGAAATACTGGTCTGTATGATTAACATGTACATGTATATAGCTAGGAATTATGAAAATAATATTTATTAATATTTCTGAATGTTTTGTGTACTGTAGTATATCAGTTTATATTCTCTTTTAGTCTCTCAAGTGTGTCTCTAACCTGCGGTGAGCCGGTGGAGTCTACACCTTATGATTTCCTGGAAGGTGTGGCTCGTCGTGATCAGTTCTCAATACATCCAGAACCTGATGTAGCAATGGTTTTTAAAAAGACGACAGACGACCAGTCGGTTGATTTGGTTGAAGTTGAGAAACTATTGAAGAAACTCTTGAATGAAGTTAGTATGTACAATGTGCATGTACATTAATCTCCTTATTATATTGGAACTGTAGGAGAAGTGGAGAGAATGAGTAAATGTGTGTATGTGATGTTTCTTTATAATAAAATTAGTTCTTTTTGTCTTATGCTTTGTCTTAAATGTTTACTGTTGTACAAGTATAGGCTATTTGTTCTTTTTTGTCATGTGATGTCCATCTATATAGTTCATATGCACATGTAACTTTTAACTACGACTGTAATGCAACTTTATCATTCCTGTAATTAGTTTATTATTTTATTTACAGAATTCTAATGATCCTCAAGTCTTCAATCAGGTTGGTAACTTGTGGCGGGTGAAAGGTAACACTCTCCTGGCCATAGAGTGTTTCCGGAAGGCTCTCTCAGTCTCTCCTAATGACCCTGACGTCCTCATTAACATGGCAAGGACACTCTACAATCTCAAGTTCATAGATGATACACTTTTCCTAACTAAGCTATCCCTCCATCACAAATTCCCCAAGTCAGAAACCTGGCTCCAGCACTATACACTTGGTGAGGCTTACAAAGTCACTAAAAAGTATGAAACTGCTGCTGCTTACTTTAAGAAAGCTCTAGAACTGAACCCGAGTCTCAGCAGAGCAGAGGCTCATCTGAGAGACCTTGAGAGACAGAGCAGTCTTACCAACTTCTACACAGTCATCATCATTCTATTCTTAGTCTCTTTTGTTATTATTATTATATCTTATCTAATTTATGTAAGAAATTGACGTAAAATAATTATAATACTGATCATTATCACCATCATCATTGACATCAATTTTTGATTTTTATCTTTATTACATTTATCATCATTGTTGTTATTCACTAAATTTGATTATTTATATTTACTGTGATGTTTGTGTGGAGTATTATCATCTATTGTTTCTATTAATTTTGTTTCTTTTACTGATAGATCTATAAGATTCTGAACAAGCTACACACACCCACCACACACTATGCAAGTCAGTGTCACTGTGACTGTGCCAACTGTCTGAAAATCAGGTGACATTGGTGATAAGATGGCTGAAAGTTTTGTTCCTCGTGATGTTCCTACTACTAAAGAATATGAAGTTTTAAAGAAGAAGACTAGCAGACTTCAACGAACAATCATTGATTCGGCAAAGTCATTATCAATCGATTTGTTTTCTGCGGACCTCATTTCTCATTCTACTCTTCACAAAGTGAATGTTCCTGTCACTACTCCTGATGCACAAAACTATGAGATTATAGATAGCTTACTTCGAGCAGTGGCCATTGATCCTAACAACTTTCACAAGCTCCTTGAAGTGCTGGAGAATCATCCTCCGCTACTGACTGCTGTTGCCAAAGAAATGAAAGATGAATATGGTATATGATGAATAACGTTATTATTTTAAAATTATAATTATCTAAAACCTTTTGATTTTGAATCCACATTAGATCTACCTGAAAAGCAAACAGAAATTAGCAGAGACCAGCAGAAAGGTAAATATTTTGTGATTTAACTTTTTAAAATAATAATTTAGAAATAATCATTGCTGATGGTCAAAGTATTCAAGAGGGTTATGACCATATGCGTTGGAAGTTAGCAGAGCTAGTACTTGACTTTCAGAAAGTAGTGGAAAAGGCAAACATCAGCATTGAAGATCTCAAGCAGTATGTCATCCTTTATCATCCTGATGAGCAGTATAAAGATGAGCTGAGGAAAGCAAGAGATATTTATAAAGTGTTTGATGTTATTCGTAGCAAATTCTGCTCTCTCTTCAATTATAATGTCTTGTTGCGAATTGCCGAGAAATTCAATCTTCCTGATGGATTTAAAGTAATACAAGAATACAAAGCAGAGGAAGAGAATTATCGTAAGCTAATGAGTAGTTCCACACTTGCCAGTATTCTGCAGGAACAACACGAATTACTTCATCAGAATTTGTCTCGTACAAAAAAAATCATTTTGAAGCTACAAAGATGGGCACGACCACCATCACCAACAGTTGCTGAGTTTCATGAAGTCGTTAAAGATGTTTTTGCTGACCTTGGAGATCTAATTCATCTTCTTGAAGTTAGGCCAGGTTCAATCATTGTAACAATGATTGCTCCTGAAAGAGTGACAGGAGCACTAATAGCACTAGCAAAGAGGAGCGTTGGGTATCTCAAAGATATTGGAGTGACCTGGTTAACAATTGGAGATACTTTAATTATCAATGACATTGAAGACACAGAAAAGGTATATTATTATAGCATTGTGAATTATTATTATTATTATTAGTTGCCACATTATGACAGTGAACAAGACATGCTCTCTTCCTCCAGTCCTAATAAGGTAATTAAGATATCAATAGACTACTACTATCAGACTACAGTTTATATGACAATTTAGGTGGAAAATATTTCTGACAATGCTGATGATTATCTGCCAAGTAAGTACATTTCAGAATTCAATGCTCAAGTGTGTATATTCATTAAAATATTGATGATCATCATTAATGTACAGGTTCATCAGTTGGAGTTGTTACTGGTACAGTGCCATCTCAGTTAAGTCATCCATCAACACAAGCTGGAGTAGATGATGGAGGAGATGATACTGATCAAGAAATGGAAGCTGATTCAGCTACTCCAGTGGTTGACCAAACGTGGCGTCATTATCCTTTCAAACCAAAAGAAATGATGATTATTGGATCATTTGGTGATCATAATAATTGGCTGGAACAACAGTTAGTAAATAAATTATGAATAATGTTGTTTATTACTAACAGATACATTGTATCACCAAAACTGCTTACAACAGAGCTATCAGATGATTGGAGGAAAGAAGAGATTAAGAGAATTGCAGACCTGTATAATAGAAATCCAGACAAGCATCAGATTAAATCAGTCCATTATGATCTACCAGGAAGGGAGCACACTAAAGAATATTACATGGAAGCAATCAAACAATTTTTCATTAACTGCAAACAGGAAGGAGGTATGAGTAAGATTTTGCTAACAACTGACATTAATGCCTCTTGTTATGTAGCTATTCTCTATTACACTGGTCATGGAGAGAAGGACACTGGTAACTGGTGCTTTAAAGATGGAGTAATCTCATTCAATAATATCTTTGAATTATACATAAATCATTTTACAGGGAAGCCATTAACAATAGTATCAGATTGCAGTTATTCTGGTAACTGGATCAATGAATGTCGTAACAGGTTAGATGAGATGATTGTTCCATCATGTGGGCACCACACAAGAAAGCACGGGCTGTTGTTTCAGATTGATACTTCTTGTGGGCCTAATGAAGAAGCTACTGCATTGTGTTATGCTAATGAAGCTAATGTTTATAGTGAACCAGATAAGGCAGTGATATTTTACATTAGTAAAACACTATCATCAGGACAGACAACAATGCATACCGACTTTAAACGCATTTATTGTAGTAAACGAGCTAATGAATCCTGTAAAGCTGATGCTGACTGTACTTGGAATAATCACTGCAAGAGTCATCTTCTTCGAATTGTTCGTGGTAAAGACAAAGGATGGGCAGCCTGGCACTATTTGTTACTTGATGAAGAGAAAGTAGCTGACTTCAATGCTAAACTAGGTGGAAACATTGATGTTGCTAATTATGGTAGAATCTTAGAGTCAGGATGGAGCAAGGACCCTCCCAAAGATATTGAGCAAAAGATGGAGCTGCGATTAGGGTTTATTCCTTAAACCAATTGATAGCTTTCAATGCAAATACACAATTGATGTTCTAATCACATGCATAACTATTATAATATCTACAAAATTTTGTGTGTCTCCTTTTATAGTTTATAGTTATTAGCTGCTGAAAATTTTTTTGAATAAACTTATTGCGTAATAATACATTAGTATAATTGTTCCAACTATCTCTTGCAAATAACAATAATAATAATAATAATACAATAATACTAAAATATTTATAACATAGCTCCTCCTGTTGTAATGCATTAAAAAGGTTCACATACAAAATTGGGCACTTTTCATAATCTTCCAGTCCTTGAAAGACAAACTAAAACTGAACCCAACCACCACCACCACTGAAGAGAGGGAGAGAGAAAGAAAGAAAGAAAGAGAATAGTAGAATATTCAATAATGAATTCTAATATTCCATTGCACATACCTTGAATTTGTCCCACTAGTTGTATTGCCACTGCTGCTAGTAGAACTGTTTCCAGTTGCACTAGCTGAGAAGAAGTCTCCCCAATCATCACTACCTGAGGTGGTGGATGGAGCAGGGACTGTTGGAGGTTTCACTGGACGACTGCTGGACACAGGAGGAGGTAAAAGACCTCCAGCAGCAGACAAACCTAGAGATGAGCATTATACAAGCAGTCTCTCAATTCTGCAGAGTTACTGAGTTACTTAGTACATGTACATCAGTAATGGTAAGTATTTATACTGTCAGTAGTATCAATTACCAATGAGAGGTTTGTCTTTAGCTCCTGGGTCATCAGCACCAAGCTTCAATTTAGCCTGTAATTAAACACAAAATATCACATATAAATATACAGGAAACTATAGAAACAGATAGCGGGTTAAAAGATAAATTATATATAAGGTAAGGTAATACAGTGGTAAGATTTGATTGAGTAGTCCATAGACTATAGTGTTGATTGGTTGTTTGGCAGTTGGTGAATTGGAAGAAAATGAAATATCAAGACAAGTCAACAATAACTAAGATAATGTTCTCTACCACAAGTATGAAGACAAGTCTCCCAATATTTGTATAAAATGATGTCTTACTCCAATGTTGACAGATATCTTCTCTCCTTGCTTCAAGCTATAGTCAACTGTCGGTTTAGGCTCTGTCTCTTCCTTAGCAATCTTCTCATCTCTTTTAATACCTCTGGAAATAATAAAAGAAGAGAAATGGAGAGAGAGAGGAGGAAAGAGACTCACTTAAAGTGCTCCATTAATGAGACGTTGAAATCAAAAGCATCTCCACGATCTTGAAAACCCAAACCAACAAAAGCATGACGACCTGAAATAGAAGAAGAGTGGATAGGCAGAAGAGATAGAGGTAGTGTATACCTGATGGATCTTTTAGTCTGAGTACAAAGTATCTACTGGAATCAGAGACAGGCTCAACAGCTAAACCAGGAAAAGAATCCACTGGACAGACAGCAAACAACTCGCCTGAAGAGAAATGATACACAAATGAATAATAGTACATTAATATACACATAATACTGTGTGTGTGCTTGATTTGTATGAAGGTACAATGTGGAGATACCATCCTACAAAGGTTTCATTGTATCAGCTCATCCATTCTCAATCCTTATTATTACTATCATCTCTTTATTTAAGTATTCTACTAGTTACGTGTACATGTGTGCATTGAATGATAGTGTAAAGAAGGAAAGTTACCAGATCTATCCTCCAGTTTAATGAAGCACTCATTCTTTTTAGAGACTATTTTTAGTCTTCCTTTAAAGTCAGGGGCAGCAAGATTCCAATCAGCAGCTCTGAAAGGACTCCAGTACAACAGATAATACTGTATAATTCCCTTACCTAACAGCACGGGTAGTGGAGACCCTGGGCGGTATCTGATAAATGAAAGCTTCTTGCTTCACTAGCTGTATCGACTCGTACTCTTCCGCCATCTTTGTTTGGTAACAAAGACACGCCCAGTAATTATTAATTAGTGGGTCACGCCCATACATTTTTTCATTTTTCTTCCTTTTTTCAGTTTTAGTTTAAATTGAGCTCCACCATTTTTAACTGCAGTACTAGCACCATAAATTAATATGAGCAAAGAAGATGAGGACATTTCAGCTGTCATGGGGTTCTCAGGATTTGGTGAGTCTTAATGATAAGATCACGTGATGTCACGTGACTGCAGGTCGTTCCAAGACTGCCAGAAAGTTCGACATTGATGCAATGTTTAAGGAAACACTCTCTACAGCCCAAGCGTCACAGGTCAAAGGTCAGAATTTATTTAAATTTAAAATGATTTTCTGCAAGTTACATGCAATGATAATAATAATAACAATAATAATAATAATAATAATGACAACAATAATAGTGATAATTTTATTAATTTTTTATAGATAAACCTCAGGCTATAGAAGAAAACGTGAGTTGAGTATTATTATATTCCTCGTCAATGAGTGGGCGTAATAATTACCATATTAGGAAGAAGAAGGTGATGGTATGATAGGTCCTCCTATTCCAGTTAGCCTCTCAGCATCTAATGAAGAGGAGGAGGAGGAGAAAGAGGAGGAGGAGGAGATGGGGGAAGTAGATGTTAGTTTATATTGTATAAAAATTGTGCAAATTTTTTATATTTTGTAAAAAATACTGAATTATTGTTTAGAAAATTTGCAAAACACTGATACACTAAATACATGTATTCTTTATTTTTATTATATTTTATTTATATTTTATTCTTTGTGTTCCCTTTTTTAAGGATGAGTTTGAGAAGAGGTTTCCATTAACAAACGAAGTCGTAATGGATCATGGAGCTAAACCAGTGAACCAATCATAATACATGTACATGTACAATTTACATGTACACAGGTATCAGCGCTAGGCCTTGATCCAGCTGGAGCTCGGCTGATCACCGGTTGCTATGGATACGATGTCAAACTCTGGGACTTTGGTGGTATGGACGCAACGCTAAATTGTTTCCGTACTCTCACGCCTTGTGGAAGGTATTTCATAAACTTGTACTGTTAATTAGAACATATATGGTATCACAGTCATCCCATTTGCACAGCACAGTACAATCACACTGGAGAGCTTATATTAGTCGCCTCGGGTAATGCACAGGTATGGGATAAAATTTTAATGGGCAGTCGTTCTCAATTTTGATAGGCTATAGTAATGGACAGAGATGGACAGACAGTGGCAGAGTGTCCAAAAGGATGGCAGTACATAGCAGATATGACAAATACTAATGTTAGAAATAAATTATAATTAATAATTATTATTGTATCTTACATTAACTTTTAATGGTACAAAGTTCTGCTAGTTATGAACATTTTTTAAATGAGCCATTTTTGGAAAAAACCATGGGCTATAGCCTTGGGTATTTTTCAGGATTTTGGCATTTTCTTAATATGGTCATAACTTGAAAAATTGAAGTCAGAATCAGCTCAAACTTGCTACACAGCATAAGTACATCAATATGTATTAGAAAATGTAATAAAAATTTGGGGTGATTTTGGAGCCATTTTTTGAAAAAAACCATGGGCTATAGCCTTGGGTATTTTTCAGGATTTTGGTGTTTTCTTAAAATGGCCATAACTCGAAAAATTGAAGTCGGAATCAGCTCAAACTTGCTACACAGCTTAAGTACATCAATATGTATCAGAAAATGTAATAAAAATTTGGGGTGATTTTGGAGCCATTTTTTGGAAAAAACCATGGGCTATAGCCTTGGGTATATGTACTTGTATGATGATAATCTTTATGGCAGGGTCATATATCAATGATTAACAATGCTTGCTGGCATCCTTTTCACAGAGACCAATTCATCACTTGCTCAAACGACTGGTGAGAACAAAATATTATCATTAGTTAAAAATTTCTTTTACTTATTATCTGCCTTAATACTACCGTCCTTTCTTTCTTTGTATATACTTTTAATGATCTTTCTTTCTCTCAGCACTGTTAGGGTATGGGAGGTTGAAGAAGCAGCCAAGAAGCAAAAACACGTCATCAAGTCAAGAAGCAAGCAGGGTATGAGTGACAGCTATTTTATGTATTTCTAAAATTTACACTTTAGGTAAGAAGACGCCCATCATAACGTGTACGTATAGTAGAGATGGTAAATACATTGCTGGAGCTGGAGTGGATGGAAGCATTGCAATGTGGAAGGGAGATGGTCCTTATGTAAGTAATCATGTATATTTATGTACATGTACTTGGATATTTTAATTCTTTTTATTATTAATATTTAGGTAAGGCCATCATTAGCTAATTACAATGCACATGTTCCTGATACTGAGACTTCATGTCTTTGTTTTGCTCATGATAATCACACGCTAGTATCAAGAGGAGGTAACCTGCTCTCTCCTCCCTCTCTCCCTCTACTGGGCATGAGGATTTTTTTACATCATTCCTTTATTTTCATGATTAATTGCACTCTACAGTGTACTTCTCTCAAATTCTCATTCCTTCTATCTTTTTCTCATCAGGTGATTCTACTCTAAAGGTTTGGGATATTCGTAAGTTCAGAGATCCAGTTAGTACTGTCACTGATCTCTTCAATCACTATTCAGTGTAAGCCAGGAATATACATGATATAATGATGCTACCATATTGCTGTAATTATTGTGAATATACTAGAGTATTTTATTGTTTCATTTACAGAACAGACTGCTCATTCAATCCTGATGAGACTATCATTATAACTGGTACATCTGCTCAAAAACAAAAGGTCAGCAGATACACAAGTAGAGAGAGATTCTATTAATGTATCAAATTGCTGTACAATAACTGTTCACTGTGGTATCTTATTTTTAAAAGGATAAGACTGGTGAGCTCTTGTTCTTTGACAGATCATTAAATCAACTTCATAAACTAACGACACCAGACTCAGTTAATACTTCAATCTCTCTTCATTCTTCTCCTCTAACTATTGATCCTATTTAATTCTCTCTTTTCATCTCTCTTCTCACTTTATCTCAACCCACAGAGTGTCATTAGGACATTATGGCATCCTAAATTGAATCAGATATTCATTGGTTGCAGCTCTGGTGATGTGAAGGTCTTCTTCAGCGATAAATACAGTCACAGAGGACCCAAGATGAGCCTCAACAAGAGGAAGAGAGGAAGGGCTGACATAGTAACATCAGT